ACTTTTTATGTGCTCCCCTTTTGTCCTTTAGGCTGCCCTGGATTTCTCTGGTCAGCCAGGGAAGCCTCCTGGCCCCTTTCCCCCTTTTGCCTCGCTCGGGGATCATCTTGCTTTGTGCCCGAAGGATCCTTTCCTTAAGGCACAGCCACCCTTCTTGGGCTCCCATCACTTCAAAACTCCTACTCTGCAGTGCGTCCTTGACTAATCGCCTGAGTTCATTGAAGTCAGCTTTCCTAAAGTCTAGCACTTTCACCCTACTAGTTACCTTACCCACTCGACGTCTTATGGTGAATTCTATTATTAGGTGATCACTGTCCCCCAGATGGCTACCGATCTGGAGGTCCCCAACCATGTCATCCCCCGTTGCCAATACCAGATCCAGTATGGCATTCCCCCTAGTGGGACCGTGTACCTCCTGTGTCAGGTGGAGGTCCTGTACACAGGTTAGAAACCTGCGTGAGCGGTGGGACTTTGCTGTCTGACTCCCAGCAGATGTCCGGGTAGTTTAGGTCCCCCATGACTACCGCCTCTTTAGCTTTTATGGTCTCTGCGAGTTGCCTCAGGAGCCCCGAATCTCTTTCTTCCCCTTGATGTGGGGGTCTGTAGCAGACCCCTACCACCAAATCCCTTTCTCCTTGCCCCCCATGTAGCCTAACCCACAATCCTTCTACCTCCTCATCCTTGGATTCCATCTTGATGAGGGTTGACGTATATATATATATATACCATCCATCCATCTGCATACCTAAGCCATGACGTATGTAACCAAAAGACTGAGTTTTGATGAAGTCAACTCAGCAACTCAACTCAACAGCAACAAGGTGATTGGTTTAGCAGGTTGTCAGAGGCACCATAGCAGTGTGTCTGCATAAAAAGGCAGTGAAGACAAGGCCCCCAACCACGTTGTATCCCATCCACATCAACTCGGGAGAAAACTGCTGGCATCCCTCCCATAAGATCATTGTGTCCAGACGCAATGCAACTGGCCATCGTGACTGAACCTGAGTACTAGTGGATTGGCCTGTGTGTGTGAGTATGAATGGTTTTAGATAAAGCATTGCTTTTCCCCATTGGTCTTTCGTCCAACACTATCTAGCTTGTAAGTTCTGTGGGGCTGAGCCTGTTTCTCAGTACAGTGATTAACACAGTGGATCCTGCTTTGAGTTGGATTCAAGTAATACCTTACATGTAATTGTAACAGAATATAGGAATGCTATCTAGACATCTAAACATGGGGTTATCTCCATCTTACCTGTTGCACTTTGAGTAGATGTTCAGGGACAGAACTAAACTGGTTGCCTCTGTCCCATTCCTGTCAGTTCAGGACTGGATTGAATCCTGGGCTGCTCCTATCCTCTCCCTATGTGAATATGCTCTGATCTTTCTCAGAGGAAGACCACATCTGACTTCTGCTAAGTCATTCTATCTGCTTTTAATGTCAGATTGTTTTCAGTTCCTGTTAGATAGGAGGTTCTTCTTCACTTCCTGTCCTATGCATTGCTTGCTGTGCTTGTTCAAACCCATGGTACTCTACCCTTCTGCAGACCCTAGCATTTGCACAGTAACCTCTGCTTACTCCATGGAAAAGCAGTATTTTGTAGCTTTGAAAAAATAATTCCAGAAAGCTCCAAAAGTACCACCAGCATCAATGCATTCCCAGGTAGCCTAATTTAAAATAAAGCAGCGTGTGCAGAACCCAGAGATCCTGAGGGACTCCACAAGAACAAACCTCTATGTGTATCATGTAAAATAAAGGAGAAAATATATAAGGGGAAGAGACCTCAGATTCAAGCTTCTAAAATGAAATACTTTCATTTTGATATGTTGAGAAACCCTCTGTTCATTTCAGCCAAATAACCTCTCTTTAACCCAGCATTTCCCAAAACATGCCCTGTGTCTCCTACGGGTTGCTGAAGATTTGCCAGGAGGCACAGAACAGACCTCTTAGCTGCACTCCAGATCTCAGCTTTTATTAAAAAAACAAGTCCCTATCTGCTATGATTGCAAAAAATATCTTCAAACCATGACCCTAGTGCAACACGATTATCCATCAATTAGCAGAGGCTCTGAGGTGTGAACTGCACCATTCATTTCAAGGAAGCCAACACTAATGCCTCTGAGAATCCTTCAAATGTCCATATGGTTAACTACTTCACTGCTCATCAAACCTGTGGGAAGGGAGGGAGGATCTTTAGGAAGAGACATATCTGCATTTCCCAGAGGGAGGTCACAGGATTAGCCACAAGGTATATGTGGGCATGTGCATGGAGATTTACACCTAAAGGCAGGTAGTTAGTTAACAACACCTGGTGAGGCTTGCAGGAGGATGTGATTCATTTTATTTTACTATTGGGGGAAGACAGGACTCATCTTCCCAGAGCTGGGTAAAATCTGACAGCTATTGATTATGTTCGAATGACCTTTCAGGATAAACACCCAGAAGGACAGAATTTGTATTCTGTGAGTTTCATCCGGTTTAGTTACACAAACTTCATGGCTTAGTCTTTTTTGTGACCTACACATGGTTTTACTTCTGATGCCTAGGGCTGAGAAACATCCAGTTTCCTATCTCTGTTTCCCTCTACATCACTCCCTAAACCTAATTCTCCTTTTAGAGGCAATGGCCAGAGTTCTACCTTGCTACCCATGACTATCTTCACTCCAATGCAATCTGCTTTCTTGTTTATGTCCCAAACCTTCTGCATCCCCACTGCTAGCCAGTCTGCAGCTTTCTACACTTCAGTTCCTGATCGTCCAGATTCACTTCCTCTAATAATCCAAGTAAAATGCTAATTAGGGTGGAGTGGCCTACAGCAAGGTCATGTCTTGGCATGGAGATTATTGCTAATCTTTGGTGCATGACCATGACACCTCAGGATCTGCACTGTAATAATTCTGGTCCTGTTTAAGAAAGTGATCACTCAACTCATTCCCAAATGTTAAACTCGTGGAGGCTTGTACATGAACACCTTCCAAATGTAGCTCTGTTTAAACATGGTAATATAACTGATTTGTTTCTCAAAAATGCCCTCTAGGCAAGAAATATGTAGAAGTAGGGTAGATTTGGTTAGCCTATAAGGTGCAAATCTACCCTGCCTCCTATTTGACTTCAGCTTAACATGGCTAAATGTCACTCTGCTCAGGGAACATATACACAAAGAACAAAAAGAGGTGAAGAATTGATTTTGATTTTATTTTTTACCCTACTAATACCAGAAAGACTCCCTTACAGCTTTGCCCTCAGATAATCTACTGATTATTACCTATTTATACCAAGGATTCCTTTCTGCACGTGGCACTTTCCCAATTCCTGCAATACCATTCTTTCTGTAACTAACACTTATTTGTACTGGGGTAAGCAACTAAGCTAGGTACTAAGACAGATACAGAGAGGATTAGATCGGCAACACTCTACAGAGAGGAATTCTCAGGGTATGTCTACACCAGGTCCCTTGCATGTTCAGGGAAGGATACCCCCAAGCATTCCCCACCCCACACAGACCCACTCACATGCACTGGGAACAGAAAAGTGGTAGTGCAGCTGCTTAGAGATGTCTACTCACATGGCCACTCTCAAGACCTTGGTCTCTGGGGTGCTTGACAGTGGCTGTGTGGAAATCCCTTACAGCAGCTTCACCACTGTGTTTCCAGGCCCAGTGAATGCAAGTAACAGGTGGGTGGACTGTATTTGGAACCATTCCTCTTTGGACATGCCAGGGACAAGGTGTCATGTATCCTAAGAGTCTTGTGATCTTTGATCGGAGAGTGGAGCTGAAGGATCCCTACTCTGGACTCTGCTCCCACACACCCTTGCAGTGAGCCTGTTGTCCTTCACATGAGTTGGTAACATTTCATCAGCTCCATCAATCTCCTCTCATCTGCCTCCCTCCCCAGGTCACACCCCTGGAGATGCATTTCCCTCTCAGTTTCACTTGGTTCTTCCCCTAGAGCTTCTGATCCTGCCTTGGCTTTGTCAAAAGGAAGCCCACGAGTGCTACAATTTCTGTTCATGCTCTTCAGTTTCTCAAACAAGTCCCTACTGCTCTCCTTTTCCACCTGGCTCAGGAGATCCACATTGAGCCCAAAGTGCTTAGTTTCTGAAAGGCTCTGTAAGATATGCAGGGTGGCTTCTCTGTCTTCACCACAGACATTCTCTGCCAACACCCTGAGGAACTCACCCAGGAGGCCAAAGCCGAGATCCGCTTGAAAGATTTTGCCCAGGCCTGTGCCTCCAAGCTGCAGTAGGAACTGGTATTTTTCTTGCCCACTTTTTAAGCATCTGCGCCAATCTCTGTAGAATTCTGAAGAGGTTTCAGGTAATCGGTCCAACCGCTGGAAAGAAAAGACCAACAGCAATAAGTGAGCACCAGGCTTCTCCTGTTTCCTTTCCTTTCTACTTCTGAAATCCCTCTCATTAGTCTGTACACACTGACGACTGTCTGAATGCATGTGTGTGTAAGGGGGTATGGGATCCTAAGTAAACTGGTAAAACTCCCATTGACTTCAATGGGGCTGAGATTTCATTCCAAGGAAAGAATGGATGGTGGTCACACAAAACAGGTCACCTGTGGTAACTGAATAGTCACAGGAAGAAAGGTAAAATAGTACTATGGCTCAGAAACCAATGAAGAGACAGCAAACAAAGTTCAGGAGTAAAAGGCTAGTTTTTACCCTGGCAATAAGGGAACAGTGGCAGAGACAGGATGTAGGACTAAATGGAGATCTGATCTACTCAAGAGATTTCAATATTTGGGATTTGTTTAGGGCTTGTTCACATATGGAACTGCTATTTCTTCTGAGTGGTCTTTCCTCAGGTTGGAGGAGGCCTGCTTTTTTCGAATCCTCATTCTCCGCAACCTAACATCCATTGCTTTCTCTACTGAATGGCCTCTGGTCTGTTTTGAATTTCACACACTATCTTGTTCTGCAATAATTTTCAGATGTCAACAAACCAATAGTGATGGAGGATTCATAGATGTAGGGTCGGAAGGGACCTTGTAGATCTTCTAGTCCGACCCCCTACACTGGGCAGGAGAGAAAACTGGGCTCAAATGACCCCAGCCAGGTAAACGCTGAGCCTCCTCTTAAAGACCCCAGGGTAGGAGCCATCACCACTTCCCTTGGAAGTTGGTTCCAGATCCTAGCTTCCCTGACTGTGAAGTAGCGCCTTCTAATGTCTAGTCTAAACCTACTCTCTAGCAACTTATGGCCGTTATTCCTTGTTACTCTGGGAGGCGCCCGGGGGAACAAGGTCTCTCCCAAACCATGCTGGTCCTCCCTAGTAAGTTTATAGACTTTTTTTTTTTCCTCACCTGGGCTATTTCCACCTCGCTGTTCTGCTGGCACTTAGCTTGGGTTGCACAGGAATTCCACAGTAGGTTTTTCTTTTTTCCAAATTTATCCTTTTTTTCCAGGGGCTTCAGGTGTGATGCCCGCACAATATCCCTGTAAGCAAAATCCTGTAAGAGCAAATACCCTCCACATCAACACCAACGCAATCCTGCAGGGAAAGGAGGTTGACTGGGCCCTGCAGGGGAAGGGATTGTGGCCAGGCCCCAACCCAACTCTGGGGTGGTGGTGGCCTGGCTCCAAGGGGTTGGAAGGGGTGCCCCAGCTCCAATAATCCAAAAACAGGGTGGAAGGAAACGGGGTGCTCTAAACAGCTGCACAGGGCTTGGGGTTTTGGCAGCAGGGAGAATGACTGTATTAATGTTCACTGCTCCCCCACCATCACATTTCTGGACCTGTGGGGAGCCCCATGGGCCAAATGAGTTGGCTCCATGGGCCACTATTGGCCTGTGGGCCAGAGGTTGAGCACCCCAGTCTAGAAATAAAAGTTTTTCCAGCCAAATGATGTTGGTTAAGGGTATGGTTTTTGTTCTCTCAGTTTCCTAGCAGATGCAGTTAAATGAAAATATAGGTGTCTTACATCAATATATAGCCTGTACTAGTTCCCAAATCAAACTAATACAAGCTTTTTTATACTAGTATAACCACATCCGCTTTAGAGGGGTTTGCCACTTATGCTGGCAATGTGTGTAAGATCTGTGCTGCGAAGGCCAGTCCCCTTTGTGAGAAATGTTATAGTATGGGTGCTAAATAAACCTTTCCTTTCTTTTTAATTCCATTCTTCTTTGTTTTTAACACATCTTGTTTTGATTCAGATTCCTAGGGTCTGAGTAATTTCCCCACAGAGAGGAATATCTCATGACTTTTCTGAGAAGCTGCAGGATAGAGCTTTTGGAGTTACACGTCCCTTACCCAGCAAGTTGGCCTAGACAAAGAGCTCCTATCACAAGAAACTGTGTTGCCATTGAGTTGTGGCTGAAAGACATGGACCTGGTCACACATACTCCTTATTGCTTCAGACACTCTCACAGATTCAGTCCTCCTCGCACAGGAGGGAGGATATGACAATACAACTCCTGAGCAGACAGTGTCACTACATGACACTCAGAAATACAAACTTTCATCCTGATGAAAGAAACACTGGATTGTTGTATTCCCAACTCCAGACTCGCCACATGAAACAAGTTGCCTGCAAACCTAAATTCTTCATAGGATGCCACCTTCTGGTGAACAGCTCGAAATTTGGCATCATTTTCTCTCCAGTACTTTTCATCAGCAGCAACAGCAGCCTGTAGTTCTCTCTCCAAAGCACAGAAATCTATTGCTCCAGATTTGTCCATGATGATAACCTGAGAGCAAAACATAATTAATGGCATGCACAGACCAAACAATTATACCAGTTTACTGTGACTCATGCTGAACCAACTTAACTATTTCATCTGTCCTCTCCGTATCAGTGTAACTTTACACCTGTTTCATTCAGTTTAATTCTGTTTATGCTGGGATGAGAATAAACAGATGAAGCAGTTATAAGTGGTAAGTCCCTTTTATACACTATTTTAATATAGTGTATAACTGCATCTCTGATTTAGTTACTTTATAACGTCTGGCCTGCAGGCTGGATCCAGCCCATCAAACTGTTGCATCTGGCTTGCTGGTAGTCCAGCAGGCTACCAGAAGTTGACAGCATAGCTAGGAGGCGTGGTGTGCATACAGCCCTCATTTGCCTCATGCTCATCCCTGGACCCATGCTGTCACCAGCCCCCAAACCAAGTTGCCTCATCCCCTGCCCTACACACCGTTGGCTTTGCAGACCCATCCCAAGAGACCTTGGGGTCTGGGGCAGAGGCAGGTGCTGCCCAGCAAAGGCGGGGTGCAGGACTGAGCCGCGCACAGGGAAAGGGGGTGATTCTTGCTGTTGTGCGCACCCCCAGGGGAGGCATGGGGGGGGTGTACCCCTGAATCTGCGCACAGGCCGAGGGCAAGCTGCAGCTGGGGGCTGGGGCCAAGGCAACACCGGGCTCTTCCCAGGTAGGGGGGCTGGACCAGGCTGTGCTTGGGGAGGATGGCGGCGGTGCTGGGAGGGGAAGTTGGGAGGGCTATGGCAAATTTTGGGGGGGCTGAAGCCCCGCCCCTAGCCCCGCCCAGTGCCACCACTGCCCACCCCGAGCACAGCACAGCCCAGCCCCCCTGCCGGGAAGAGCTCAACACAACCCTGGCCCAACCTGCCCTAGCCCTGCACGCAGATGCAGGGGCACACGCCCCGCATGGCCCCCCCCAAGGGTAGGGGCAGGGGTGGGAGCTGCACCCCCCACCCCACACCTCCCCAAATGAGCCACTCCTGGCTCCGTCCTGGGGCCCCCCAGCCGCCGCCCCACTCTCTCCCTCAGCACGGGGGCCTCAGTCTGCACCCAGTCTGCACCCTCCACGGCCCTTCCCTCCCCCCACAACAGACTTATCAGCGGGACGCTGCTCTCCACACTGCCCGGCTGCACATCAGCAATCGGATCGGGATCGGCTGATACGGCTCGTTAAAAATCGGCCATTGGTATCGGCCCCAAAAAATCTATCGCTGCACCTCTATTAATTATACAGTGAGTTCATGCAAACCCCAATCTGAAATGATGACTTTGAAGTTGGGCCCAACTTTCCAGGGCACTTGCGTTCCATCTCAGCTGAGACAAGTCTCAGAAGAACACAAGAACTGCCCTTTACTGGGTCAGACCACCGGGCCATCTTGTCCAGTCTCCCCTGTCACGCCGCACTTCGTACCCCGGGGCGCTCCCCGCCGCCGGGCCCAATCCCGGGCCCGGGGCTGCCCCGACACTGGTTCCCCGCCTCACCGCCCGTCTCCATAGCAAGAGCGGGACTCGCCGCCCAGGCCCCTTCCAGCCGGGGCTGCCCCACCCAGCGCCTGCTCGGAACCCAGACACTCCTCCCCCCAAAACTCAGGCCGGCCGCTCCCCACCCAGCCCCCGAGCTCTCCCCACCGCGGCTGCCTGGTGGAGGGGTACTGAAGTGACCAGCCCCTCAGGCGGGCGGCTTGGCCACCCCCCACGCGGTGGGGGGGCCTTCGACGCGAGCGTCGCACGGCAGCCGGCGCGCGGGAGGGCAGGCGCGCGGTAGCGGAGCCGGGTGCGTGTCGGGGCCGCTTTCGGGAGGGGAGGCGGAGACCGGCCTCGTTTTCGCCCCGCGGCGCCATGGACACGGACTTGTACGACGAGTTCGGCAACTACATCGGGCCCGAGCTCGACTCGGACGACGACGACGACGAGCTGGGCCGGGAGGCCAAGGACCTGGACGAGGTGCGGCCCCTCCCCGCGGGGGGCGGGGGGCCGCCGGGAGACGGGGCCCTCTAGACTCTCTCCCGTCTTCTCCGCTCTTGAGAACTGGCTTTTGCAGGCAGAGGTCCAACCTGCAAGGGGTTGCTTGGGCCCCCCTGCCCCACACACTGGGGGCCGGGGCATGGGGGCAGGAGGCAGCGGGTCGGGCATGAGGGCTCAGGACTGGCCACTGATGTTTACAAGTGGGTCCTGGTGCAAAAAAGGTTGAGAACCGCTGCACTAGGTCAGATGGATAGTGGGGGAGAGGGAGAGAAGGGCGGAGAGAGAGAGCGAGTTTCACGAGCTGACACTTGCTTCACTGATGAAGTGAGCTTCAGCCCATGAAAGCTTGCACGCATTCACTCTTTCTTTATATGCATGTGTGTGTGTCTTAGTTACTCCCTAAAGGGGTGTATTGGCCTTGCCTCCTGATATAATGGAGAGACAGAAGTAGTGTTTATAACCCCAGAGCAGAGGCATGGTCACTGGGACATGTTGTGTGGTGAAAGGGGCTGCACCTGATGACCCAGAACAATGTTCCTAATGGTGTGGTTGTTCAGTGTTGTTTACAGGCAAATGAAAAATAGTCACCAGTTTACCACGCAGATTCTTCATAGTTTCATAGTAGCTAGGGTCAGGAGGGACCTGAACAGATCAAACAGTTTTCTGAACAAATCTTATACAGTTAGAGTTTCATGCACTGTATTTTGCAATTGTGCTTTGATGTGGAGCGTAGCCTGGCTTGCTGCTTGCTTGGCAAAACTTTGGTAGCCTATGTACATGTACAGAAGGCAACATCTTGTGGGTTGGGAAGGACTTCAGGGGACCATCTGGTCCAACCACACCTGCATGAATGTAGGAATGATGCTCCTAAATCATCCCCATCCAGTGAATATTTGCATTTGGCAGTGGCCTCTGGAATGGATTCAAGGTGGGGAAAATGGCTGTTAAATAAAAATTGGGAGAGATTGTCAGCACTCCTGTCTGGACCTGTTTCTGATCAGTGCTAGAGATATTCAGTCCCGGTGCAGGTCCCAATCTTGGTGTAAGTCAGTATGGCTTCCACCTGTGCTCATGATTTGATATGTGACCACAAGCGTTTTTCTATCCTAAAATGGGGTTGAGAATACAAACCTTAGAAGGGGTTTTGTGGATCTTAACATATAAAAAGCTCTTTGAGATTGTTGGGCGGATAAAGTATTTTTGTTGTCGGTTTCAGCTTGATGATGATGACGATGATGACGATATGGGAGACCATGATGAAGATCACCCTGGAATGGAGGTGGTACTGCATGAGGATAAGAAATACTATCCCACTGCAGAAGAGGTCTATGGGCCTGAGGTAGAGACTATAGTGCAGGAAGAAGATACACAGCCTCTCACTGGTAAGTAATTATAGTCAGTAAATCAGATTTCTGATCAGGAAAGGTTTTTGCTGGCAATCATGGAAGGAAGAAAGGCTCTGAAATCCTGCTGGTGGTGGTATTACTTGCATCTTCTCAGACATTCAGTCTGTTTTGTCTTTGGCATTTTAATAGAAATTCTACTGAGAGTATTAACAAAAAAGAATTTAATTCATAAAGTAAAAGAACCAGGTCTCTGCTTAAAGGGAAAAAAGTGATAATGGAAATTGAGTTAAGCCTGCAAATGAGCCAAATATTTGGCTCCTTACCAGTTTTAATTTGCCTTATAAAAATCCTTTTCAACCTCCAAACTCCCAAGACTCTTTCCACTTTGTTAAAGATGCCCAGAGGCATCACTGCACCATTGCAAACGCCAGAGGAGTTCTGTTGTGAGATGTACAGAGCGTACACTAACTGTGGCTGAAAAGATCTTAAAAGAAGGCAAATGAAAATCTGTTTCAGCTATGTCTTGATCTTCCCCAAATAAAGTAGTTGAAGTGGTGTCATCAACCTTAAATATCACTTTTTTTGGTCTAGTAATATGCTTAGTATTGTCTCAGTTAATGCCTTAGGTTAATGGCTCCAAACATCAGCATTTTAAGAACATTTTTTTTCACTGTAAAATTTTATTTTGGTTTCAGAGCCAATAATTAAACCTGTGAAAACCAAGAAATTCTCCCTGATGGAGCAGACATTACCTGTCACTGTATATGAGATGGAGTGAGTACTGTATAGTTTTTTGGCTTTGTTTTTTAAGTGCACATCTGGTTTAGCTCTCCTGTATTTTTTTTCTCTTTCACTTTCCACCCAGGTTTGCCACTGGAGGGAAGGAAAGTTGGGGTGTGTGGGGGTTGCCTTGAGAGAGCTGCTGCAAATTGAAGGTGCAGCCATTGTGCCTTTTAGTAGTATTGGAATCCTATTAATGTAACTGCCAAGGCAGTAACTTTCTGGTTATGTTTCTGTTCTCTACACAGGTTGCTCCTTAGTCATCTTGTTCTCACACTCTCTTTCTTTCTTTATGCTGCACAGATTGATCTTGTGGCTCTATTAGGCATGTTTTCAGCTTTCTCATTACTTTTCTTTGAACTCTTCTCATGTTGTTAAAATCATTCTTGAAGTGCAGACATCAGCACAACACACTGCCCTAGCAACGCTTAGTAAAGTTACTGGTAAATACGAGAGGTGCATTACCAGTAAAGTTACTGGTAAATACTATGCCCCGTGCACAAATCCAGAGCACACATGCCCCCCATGTTTCCCCTGTGGGTGCGCATAGCGGTTTGGAGCCGCCCCCCTCCCTACACTCCCTGGCCAAGATGCCTGCAGGGTCGCATTCACTGCCCTGGCTGGGCAGCCCCTGCCCCGTCCCACTCCATCCCTTACCATGGGGAGCTTTGATCTGCCCCCCCACTGCACCTCTCTTTCCTTCCCCCACACACTTACCAGCCAGATGCTGCTCTCTACGCTGCATTCCTGGAAATCAGCTATCGGATCAGTATCAGCCGATATGGCTGGTTAATAATCGGCCATCAGTATCAGCCAAAAAAATCTTTATCGGTTCACCCCTAGTAAATACAGGGGAAATGTAGCTTTGACTTGAAACTTGTTAGTTATGCATCTAAGAATTACACTGGGTGCATCTACACATCGTCCTGTGACAATGTAGCAATGTTCTTTGTCACCATATGGCATCGTGTGGCGAGGTAGCAATCACGCAGGTCTACATGTGAGCACTAGCTACATCAAGGTAGTGGGGAAACTTAAGTGTGTGACGTAACAGGGAAATTTAACAGCCCATATGGGAGGTTACCGCACTACATTTCAGCACTTCCCTAAGGAAGTACGATGCAGTAAAGCACTAAAGCATGATGCAGTAACAACGTCGCTGTATGGTCATGTGTATACATGCCCACTGATGCTTTTAGCTATCACCCTGGGCTCTCAAAGTCAGCTGCTTATCCATCACGATCCCCCAATCACTGTTTCCCAGGACAGAGTTCGCCAGATGGCCTGTACTCCTTGTTCTTAGATGTCTGTGACTTTGCATTGGCTGTATTAAAACAAATATTGTTTCTTTGAGCCCACCGTGTCGGGAGCTCAGATTGCCCTGAATCAATGGCCTGTCCACTTTGTTACTTGCCCCTCCCCAGATCCTTTTGTCATCTGTAAACTTTTACAGGAATGAGTTTATATTTTCTTCCTGCTCATAGATACAAATCTTGCATAAGGCGTGGACATGCATAACACTTGGCATGGTTTAAATGTGGTTTAAACCTGTTAAACCATCCCAGGCAGATTTTAACAGGCTTAAAAGTGTACTTGGAAAATAAAGTGCTATTTTAAACCAGTTCACTGTGAACTAGTTCAGTGTTATGTGTGGACACCAGGCATTCGGTGACATGGATTTGGTTAGCCCTCAAGGCGTCTCATGCGGCATTGTTCCTCACCCTCTCCTCTCTACCACTGCTGCATGTGGCAGCTCTGGTACACTACCAGAACTCTACTGCCCCTTTTTACTTTACTGCTTGTTCAATGAAAGCTATCTTCCTGAAAACAAGTTCTGTTCTCACTCCCTGTTTCACCATAATTCTCCTCCACCCCATTTCCCTGCCCCCCACCACCTCCCCCAGCCATTGGGAACCAAAAGGTATGAGTCCAAACACTCCTGCTCTTGAATACCCCGAGTCAGGCATGTATACTGCTGATTTCAGTCAATTTCAAACTATTGAAGTTTAGTGAACTCATGTTTAGGAAAGCAGAAAGTGAAAATATCTCAGCCAAAGGTCACCCACCCCTGGTGTTTGAGCCACAGCACTTCATGCCATTGTGAACAAGTTCCCAATTGGTGACATTTGGAAATGGTGCAGCTATGTACATCTGTACCTGTAGTGTAGGACCAAGAAGATGTCCCTGTAGGACCTCACTAGAAACACAGGCTTGATGATGATTTCCCAGTTATGATTACTTGTCGAGATCTGTAGACTAGCTGGTTTTTAATCCAGTGTAGTAATTCTGATTCCTTAACTAAATTGCTATATCTTCTTTGGCTGTCTCTTGCAGTCGAGGAGGATTGTCTTCCATGATTATCTTATCTGTGGGTCCAAAGATAACTGATGAGGCCGATCCGGGATCGACAGACTCTATTGCAACTTAAGCATGCGTTTCTGTGCAGGATGGATGGCTCCGAGTTCTTGATTCAGTCAATGACATGCTATTTCCGCTGTTCCTGCTTTTCCATCTCCTTATAAGGTTTCAGAGTACTGAGATCCTTGCAGCAGCCTTCCTCCATTTGGGGCAGTCCTGGGTGATTGTCTCCCACAAGTTAATGTTGATGTTGCATTTTTTCAAGTTGGTCTTGACGACATCCTTGAAGCGCTTTTTCTGTCCTCCTCTTGAGCATATGCCTTGACTGAGCTGGGAGAATAAAACTTGTTTCAGGAGTCTGGGACATCAGGCTGATGTGGCTGGCCCAGCAAACCTGATGTCAAATGATGGTTGCTTTGATGCTTGTGGCATTTGCTTGTGAGAAGATGCCTAATGTTGAGGCGTCTGTTTTCCACTGGATTCAAAGGATCTTCTGCAAGTAGCATTGATGGTACTTTTCCAACAGCTTGAGGTGTCTCCTGTACATTGTCCACATCCTCAGCTCTGTGCAGTAAGGTAGGGATCACAACTGCTTCATAAACCATGACTTGGTTTCAGATCTGATGTTGTGATCTTGAAACAGCCATTTCCTCAGGCATCCAAAGTCTGTACTTGCACATTTGATGCAATGTTGGATTTCTTCATCAAGGTCATCATTCTGTGAGAGATGGCTTCCGAGTTATAGGAAGTACTCGGTGTTCTCCAGAGTTTCACTGTGGATCTGAATTGCTGGAACTGGGGACTGCTCATTAAGAGCTTGTTGATGGAGGACCTTAGTCTTCTGAACGTTAAGCATCAGTCGCATTTTCCCATATGCCATGGTAAAGGCGTTGACAATTGCCTGAAGGTCTGCTTCCGAATTGAGCACATACTACAGCATCATCAGTGTACTGGAACTTGGTAATGGAGGTCGGGGATATTTTGGTTTTGACTTGGAGTCAGCTGAGATTAAACAGTTTACCATCCATTCAGTAGCTTAGCTCCACTCCGACTGGAAGCTTGTTGGTGGTCAGATGTAGCATCACAGTAAGGAATATCAAGAAAAGTGTTGGAACGATGACGTGGCCTTGCTTAACTCCCTTCTTAACCTCAAAGGGATCTGCGATAGATCCATTAGTGAGAACCGCTGCTCACATGCCATCACAGAGCCAGCAAAGAAAGTTGACAAATTGCAGTGGGCATCCATACTTTGGAAGGATCCTCCACAGCACTTCTCAACTGACAGTCTCGAAGGCTTTCATGAGGTCAAAGAAAGCCATGTAGAGAGGTTTATGTTGTTCTTGGCATTTTTCCTGCAGCCGGTGAGCAGTGAAGACCATGTCAGTTGTGCCACTTGATGTCCAAAACCCACACTGAGATTCCAGGAGGAGCTCTTCAGCAAGTGGAAGGAGACATCACTGCAAGAAACCTCCTGAACTCCTTCCTGTGGTGGACATCAAGGCAAACCTCTGTAATTTCCACATTCAGACATATCTCCTTTCTTGAAGATTGTACAATCATGGTATCCCTAAGGTCATCTGGGATTTCCTCATCATTCCAAATCCTTAAGATGAGGGCATGGAGCTTTGATGTAAGCTCCTCTCCCCCCTGCTTGAAGATTTTAGTGGGGATTCCATCAACTCCAGATGTCTTGTCATTCTTCACCTGCTTGATGGCTTTCCTTCGTCAAGGGTTGGAGGGATTCTGAGATCATCTCTGACTGGGTATTGCAGGATGGAGTTGAGGGCACTCTTATCAACAACAGTCTCGATTTGAGAAGGTTTCAAAATGCTCCTTCCAGCAGGCATTGATGGCTCTCCTTTCCTTGATCAGGTTTCCTCCATCCTTAGGTTTCAAGGGGGTTAATCCCCGAGTACTCGGATTATAGATGGCTTTTTGTGGCATTGAAAAAACCACACACATTGTGGATGTCAGTATGTTGAATCTTCTTTGCCTTGTCTTCTCACCATCCGTTCTTCATATCGTGGGGCCTCCTGTGGACCTCTGCCTTGGCTTGTTGGTGATTCAGTTTCTTTTGCTTAGAGTTGGTGTCGTTCTGCCAAGCACAAAAGGCCTTGCGCTTACAGTTGATCAGCTCTTGGATCTCCTGGTCATTCTCATCAAATCAGTCTTGATGTTTCCTGATAGAGAATCCAAGTGTCTCTTCGCAGGTGCTGATGATGGTGGACTTGAAGGTATCCCAAGCACTGTCGACATTCATCCCTTGTTGACAGAAATTCACCAGTTTTTCATTGAGGCATTAGTGCAAGAGGTCTTGCTTGATTGGGTCCTTGAGTCCTTCAACTCTGTATGATGATACCTAATCAAATAGCTTATAGAATTAAGCACAATATGATGCCTATATTATTATCTTTATCAATTGAACTTTTAATCTTATAAACAAATGATGCTGTGACTAGACTTATGTTCCATATACCTGTGTTGATTGGAATCAGTTATGTAATCCTCTTTTAATTATCTAGTCATCAAACTTTGTTTCAGCTATTCCATTATTTTTCTGAGGGCTGATGTCAGACGGTCAGGTCTATAATTACTGAGGTCAGCTTGTTTACTGTTTTAGAATATTGGCACCACTTTAGTTTTCTTCCTGTCCTTGAGAGCTTCCCCATTGTGTTCCTTCATTATTGACAATTCTGCCTTGCCCATCTCCTCATACTAAATATAGTTGGTCCAGCCTGTGTGCCTCAGTTTCCCTGTTCTCAAAGTAAGATGATTTTCCTGCCCAACAGGGAGCTGGAAGGAGGAAAAAATGTTGCAGCATTTACTGCCTCTCCCTTCCTGAGATTGGCCTTAGCCTAGGCAGTCCTGCATTTGGGACAGTAGCTGGCTCTCTGTTGAGGAACCCTTCAAGTTAGGGACATTGAGTGAAAGGTATAACTAAAGTATCAGCTGCTACTGGGGCATCTGGTAATATAGGCAGAATGGAAGCAGCTAACTCTTTTTGTTTCTTGTTTCTTCAGTTTCTTAGCAGATCTGATGGACAACTCAGAGCTGATTCGTAATGTGACTCTGTGCGGACACCTCCACCATGGCAAGGTAAACCAAAGCTGAGTCTCTGCCTGACAGAAGCTGGAGCAGTTTCGATGTTAATGAATCAGCTACTTTTTTTTTTTTTAAAGGATGACAGCTGTCTTTTACTGTAGCATATTTTGCTAAGAGTGCCTATTTATCCAGCTCACTACCTCACAGTGATTAGCAGGCAAGCCTCATTCCGTCTTCCATTGGTGAAGCTAGTAAACCAGAAACCAATTTCCATGTTAATCTTTTTGTTTTCCAGCTGATGTTTGCTGGTACGTAACCCTTTGGGTTAAGCAGGGAAGTGTACGTCCATCAGCTTTGAAAGTGTTTGGAAGCACTTATTGATAAAAGGCCTGGATTAACTTAATGAAAGGAGGAGAGAGTCCCATTACCATCACCACCTTGAAGTTTTTTTCTACAAGCATGCCTGTTTCCCTCCCTCCCTCCCCCCCACCCCACCCCCACAATTCTTATTCTGCTTTCTTATTCTGTTGAGGGAGTGGATTAGCTATGACAGTCTCCCTCTCCTCCCACCACCCCTGTTCTCTTTCTAACGCACCCATTTCACCTTTCTCCTCATCCTAACTTTAAAAAGTCCACAGATGTAGCCAGCAAAGCTGTAGCACTGCTACACCATGTGCTTGTACATTGTATCCCCAGCCCATATGCTGCACCTTTTGTATACTTCGTTTTGGAGCCTGCTGGAGCTCAGATTCTCTTACCTATGAATGTGAGTTAACCACCCAAGGAGGGGACCCCATTCTGATTCTGTCTTTTTGTGGCACTGTCATCTGTCAGCTTCTTACCTTAATGCTCTCACAGTTGTAGTTTCTTGAGGGAGAAACTTGCAGAGAGGTACCATTTGCTAACATGCAGCTAGCTTTGTACCTTTTGGTCCAGGTCAATAGACATAGTATCCCACCAGCTCCGTTCCATGCTGCTTCAGGTAGAGGTACAAGATATTTAATGGTACATCTGTCTTTGGTTTTTAAACATAAGGTCACTTTGCTTTCTTTTGCTTTCTATGACTTTCAGACTTGTTTTGTGGATTGCTTGATAGAGCAGACGCACCCAGAAATAAGGAAGCGCTATGATCAGGATGTAAGTGTACTTTCAGTTTGTTCTAAGCCTTTTTTGTGATAGGGCAGAGGTGGTCTTCACGCTTACATGAACAAAGAGATCATTGCATAGAGGTTAGAGGGGGGCTCTGGTAGTCCGACAGATATTTGGGTTTTATTTCTACTCTTCTCATTTACTTGCTGTGTTAATCACATGTCAACAGTCATTATTTTGTGTCTCAGACTTCAATATATTTAGTTTAAATGTCCTGTTTAGTGATCTGTCCTGAGGATTGTGCTCTCTTTTTGCAGCTTTGCTACACTGATATACTGTTCACCGAGCAAGAGGTAAGTCCTCCCTGTAAAATGGGCAATTATTGTGACAAGCTGCCTTCTGCCTACAGAAAGTCATGGAGGAGAAGAAAAAGCTCTGAATCATGTTTTATAATATTTCCCTTCAAGAACTGCATTTTCTCGTGGAAAGAAAGTTGATTCACGTTCTGCACTGAGTAGTAAACCAGCAATCTTATTACTTCAAGCAGCAATTAGCAGATCAAGCTTAACTTTCTTTTCATTTTCCATATCCCCAATCTCTGCCTAAAGCTTTAATGGATACATTTTATTGAATTAAACTTGGCAACAGTTATTAAGTTAACTTATAGTTGTCCAGTTTATCGGTGGACACATGTGGGGTCACTCTGGAAAAGGAAAGAGTTAATGAGATCATTCACTGTTTTGGTAGGTGAGGAAAATTCTGAGATCAAAATAAATTAGATCAGAATAAATGGATTTGGTTTCCTGAATCTGGATCTTCACCTGGGTTTTCTCGTTATATGTGGAAAACCATTTAATTTGACCTACAGACTAAATGCTGTTGCAGGGTCATGCCTGGGATGCTTCTGTCAATTCTTTCTCTCGCTATCTCCTCACCGTTTCTTTACGCTGGGTATGATCAGATCTTATGCTTCTGGGTGTAACCTGGTAGCAAGAGGAGCAAAAAGATTTTGTTCTTCCATATGCAACATAGGATAATTAGCACTGTTCTGAGCAGGCTTCACCTTCCTCAACTGAGCTAGGTATTAGATGCTGCTAGACAGGGGTGGATGCATCAACAACGTAGTCCAGTCAGATCGAAGGTGGGAGAAACTTGGCTGATTTGTGACAGTGGTGCACGCCTGTCAAGCAGGAACTAGGAAACTGGGCTGGCTGGGTAACTTTCTATTGTCCTACTTCTCTGATTAATTCTTTGGGTGATTGCTGCATTATTATCTTGCTCAGTAACATTTTTTCTTCTAAGAGTGCTTTCCTTTTTTTCAGAGGGGTGTTGGAATCAAGAGTACTCCAGTGACTATCGTTTTACCAGACACCAAAGGGAAATCTTTTCTCTTCAATGTCATGGATACTCCTGGTGCGTTGAGCTCATTCAGGCACTAACAAATTTAGGGCCTTAAAAATGAAACAGTTGAATAATGGTTTGGCAGACAAGATTCTGCCTATGTCCTTAGACCAACACAGCTACAACCTATACCCCTAAATAACAGTTATACACTCTTAGGGCATTTATACACATACTTTTTTTCCTGCAATGTGCTGCTTCAGACCAGATTAATCAAGTCTGCTCTGCATGCAAGCTGAGGCAAACTACGCTGCAGCGTGTACAGTTGTATAAGTGGCAAAATGTGTGTTGGCACACAGAAAATGGCGGTGGTGCACTTTTGAACTAAAGCACCTCTGAGGTGTTTTAGTTCCAAAGGAGGAAAAACCCACAGCATGCTTATAGGCTCAGCAGTGCTACACTGGCTAGCACTTCTGACGAAAGGGACTTGGGGGTCATGATTGACCACAAGATGAATATGAGTCTTCAGTGTGATGCTGTGGCTAGTAAAGCAAGCAAAGCCCTGGCTTGTATCCATAGATGCTTCTCAAGCAAATCCCAGGATGTCATTCTTCCATTGTACTCGGCCTTGGTGAGGCCACAGCTGGAGTAGTGCATCCAGTTTTGGGCTCGATTCAAAAAGGACGTGGAGAAGCTTGAGAGAGTCCAGAGGAGAGCCACGCTCACGATAAGAGGTCAGGAAAACAGACCTTACGATGAGAGGCTGAGTGCTATGGCACTCTTCAGCCTGGAAAAGTGCAGGCTCAGGGGTGATCTGGTGGCCACCTACAAGTTTATCAGGGGGATCTGGGGGAACATCTGTTCACCAGAACACCCCACGGGATGACAAGATTGAACGGTCACAACTCCTCCGTGACCGTTTCAGGCTGGACATAAGGAAGAACTTCTTTATTCCAAACCTTGGGTATTCGGTCAGTAGACTGCTGCTGGAGGTAGTTCAAGCACCTACCTTGAACACCTTCAAGATACATTTGGGTGTCTATCTTGCTGGGATCCTATGACCCCTGCTGACTTCCTGCCCTTTGGGCAAGGGGCTGAACTCGATGATCTTCTGAGGTCCCTTCCAGCCCTCACGTCTATGAAATCAATGTGTACAGCTGCCATTTTCTCAGTACTGACTTGCATTTTGCCATTTATACAACTGCAAGCATTGTAGCACCAGGCTCTTTTATGTGTAAAAATGCCCTTAGCTGCTTACTGAACAGTGCTGATGAAATGAATAATGTATTAGAAAGATGATTAAAGGAGGGGATTTGAGGAAGGAGTATATGGACTTTTGCAACAAACCAGTTTACATTTTTTCTTTAAAAAAAGAAATCCCTGTCTCAATCTCTCAAATCAGTTGCTCTGTTTTAGACTTTTCAGAGTAATATGCTTTTTATAAAGCTTCCCTTTAAAGACGAATTTGTGGGTTTTCATGCTTGTTCCTGGGGATTCTGCCTAGCCTTGACATTTGAGCTTAGTTCTGGGGTCCTTCCACCTCTGAAATCATTTCCAGCCTCAGGGATTCAGCAGCTGATATTTTGCTGGTACAATCTAAACCCTGTACAGTGGGCTTGTTTGGTAGCCAGAAAATTGTCTGATACCTATAGTAATAGGTTAAACCTGCAGGCCCCTACAAGTTAATGCCTGACAGTGAAATAACCCCCATATCACTAATCCACAAACTGAGCCAGCCTGCTTGTGGTTTGAAAACCTTTCATCAATCAGCACTTGCAGTCAGGCTGTAGCTACAAGAAACTACATGTTCCTTCAGCCAGGTGCTGGGTGGCAGCAGAAGACTTACTGTGCATAATAGAGGGGAGGTCTCTGCTCCCACAGGGGGAGCCTTGACTGCATAGGCACTCACAGTTCTGCTGGCAACATTTTGCTGTGTATGGCAGGGTCTTTCTAGTCTATTGCACAGACACAGGTTGTTAAATGGCTTAAATAGAACCAAACAATGTGCCAGTGACTGCTCAGTTTCTGCAGGGCTCCGTGTAACTAGCCAACCTTGACGGGACTAACGGCACTGTGTCCACCATGTTCTAGGATGTAATAATAGACTGACTTAATTTGTTTTAAGCTCTGTTGTTATGTAGACATCAGTAGGATTTGGCGAATGGCTTGTTCCACTCCATTTACACATTGTAAAGGGCTGCACGTGTTACAGTGTCTTAAGTCACTTTTTATTATGGTTTTGTTTCTGATGTACAAGGCAGAATAGACTGCAGCTTATAGGCCCTCTGCTGGATTGATTTCTGCAGTGATAACCAGGCTGAAAGCTAGTGTATCAGATGGCTTAGCAAGTTTTGATTTTAAATTTATGTAAAGCAGAGATCATCAAGATCTCCCATAATGGGGACCACATGTTTGCCGTAGATTTCCCACTGTGAGGTCAGGTTTTGAGATCTGTGCCTCCCATACTAAGCTCTCTTGGAAACGCAACCCACATTGGGCAAGAAAATGGAACTTAACCCTCACTGGTCTGACCAAACCCACACTTGCACATAGGTGTTTAATTACAAAACAAGATAAGATGCAGCACTTCACAAATGACCATGCCTGGTATGCCCCAAACAACTTGCAACCTAAAGCAAGGGATGGTAAAACATGAAACACCAAAAAGAAGGTTGTTGAGAGAGATTTATTGTTCTGGCGTGTCACTTCCTTAAGAGCAGAACCATGCAGTAAGTCCTTTTCAGATCACTGAACTTAATTAATTGCCATCTCTTCTCAAGCATTTGCACAAAGCTAAGTCTATTAATTTAAAACAACATTACTGTCATGCTGTAGTTTGAGAGAACAGCCTTAGAAAGTGAGAAGGATCCACATACACAATGCTGGCAGTAGCTTCCTTGCCAACTTAACTGATGTACCATCTTGGTGATGAATGGATAACACCTTTTTTTGCCTACTAGAAGCTTGCAACTCAGAACATGTCAATGGGGCCACGGGACAGCTCTGAGGTGTACTCACCATAGTCTTTCATTTGGTTTTGTTTTGAAGGCCACGTGAACTTTTCTGATGAAGTTACGGCTGGCCTTCGTATTTCAGATGGAGTTGTGCTTTTCATTGATGCAGCCGAAGGGGTAAGTGTTTCCTGCGGGTGTTTTTTGGAAGCTCTTTGATCCTGACTTTACCACAAGATGAGCTCACATATTATCTGTGGTAGAGCATCCTTGGAGGGTGATAATTAGAAATGGAAGCATGTTCTAGTAATGGAGGTGGGGAGTCATGGAGCCAGGCTTGACTGGCTAAACTACCTGTGTTTGTTCTCTGCAACCCTCCTAAATTTGCATTTCTGCAGAACAGCTTTCTAAAGACTGGCTTTTTTCATACTGAGGGATTTCTAACCATCTTTCATATCTCTCACCATTTTTAATTTCTTTTTTTGTGCCTGAGGAAGGACGCGTGTGTCCAAAACCTTGCAAATAACATTTTTGCAACTATTTAGTTGGTCTAATAAAAGACATTGCCTCTGCCCAAAGACTTAGCCAGGCCTGACATGATGTGCTCTGACTGTGAGCTAGTATTAGTGGCATATCTTCTTTTAACTCCGATTTCACTAACTTCTAAAACTGAGATGGCTATTTAGGTTGGAATGTTTGAGGAACTACCTCCAAGGGACACTATTGGGTTAAACCTCTGCTTTCAAAATTCAAATTATTAGCTGGTCACTGATGACTGATTTTAGACTTTTTCTACAGGCTGCTGGCCCCATGAATAAGGATCACTGCTTTATCTGTCATGCCCCACATAGCACATTATCAAGGGCTTTAGTTCTTCACATTGCTACTCTGTTTCCCACAGGTTATGTTGAATACGGAGAGGCTGATCAAGCATGCAGTGCAGGAGAGGCTGGCAGTGACCGTGTGCATTAATAAGATAGATCGCCTTATCCTGGAACTGAAGCTTCCCCCAACTGATGCCTATTACAAACTTCGACATATTGTGGATGAAGTCAATGGCTTGATCAGGTACAGACCTGTGTAGGGAGCAGTCATGGAGCATGCTGTCTATATACTGCTTAATTCATCTTGAACATTATTCTTGGGGCATTACAGCTGCTAGACTCACAAGTATATTTATATACACTTGCATGTTCTCTGTGGAATCTGTTAACACCCGTAGAAAGTTTTCAGTCTGCACATGTAAATAGACATGGATTTTTTTTCCATCAGAGAGGATTTCATTTTACTCCTATGTATGTGTGTTTATATTAGTTGTGTGGGGCCATGTTAGCAGGTCTGACTGCTCTGTGACCAGCATCCTCAAAAGTGCTAGGAAGCTCTGGGCAGTTCCTAAGAGCAAAACTGTGGGAGAGGGAAATGGGCTCAGTTTGAAACAGATGTTTTGCTGTTTATCATTACTTCTGTAGACACATATCCTGCATGACTGCCCCCGCTAGGTAAATCATTGTTCAAGCAAGCCATCCTTTCTCTGTGGGTACATCTGCACTGCAGACACAGGTGTGACTGCAGTAATATGTAAAAATACTCATGCTACTTGTAAGCTAGCTGGCTTGGGTACCAGTAGCAGTCTAGCTGCACTAATTTACCGTATCTGGCATGTTTCCAAAATCATGAGAACATGTCATTGTATTCCATTCCTGCCCTGGTTGCCTTGCATCAGTTTCTCCCTCAGTTGTTTGACAGTTCCCCCCACCCTCATTCTCTTAAAACGTAAAGAAGTTCTTATTTTAAAAAGAAATACAAAATACTTGCAGTTTTGGCTGCATTTAGTTGCAAGTATTGCGGGGGGGTCAGTTGTTTGTTTGGGGTTTTTTAAGTAGGGTCAGAGTGTTGTTGTAGCTGTGATGGACCACGAAGTATACAAGAGGCAAGGATGTGTTGCAATATTTTTTTTTTATCGAGCCAGCTGTGTAGCTGGGAAACTTCGGGGCTTCATCAGGTTAACCTATCTCTTCTTTTGGAGTCTGACTTAAGGAAGGGTATCTGATGCTCAAAAGCTTATCCAGTTGGTTCAATAAAAAAATATTGCAACAAATCCCTACCTTGTTTTGTTTTTAAGACTGTTGGGGCATATTAGTTACCATTGAAAGTTTGGTGCAACTTGGGTCAATGCTCATGTAGGGCACTGTCCCTGTGTGTTAAACATGCTGGAGCCATCTGCTGAGGGTGCAGGTAGCAGTACAAAGTTATGAGATCTTATTTCTGACCTGCAGATATGCTTGGTTACAGCATCTCCCTCTGTTCGTGCCATTAAGATCTCCTCCACTGCTCTGTAGAGTTATGCAGTATGTAACATTCCCTCTCTCTTTCAGCATGTATTCCACTGATGAGAACCTCATCCTCTCCCCTCTTCTGGGAAATGTCTGCTTTTCTAGCTCCCAGTACAGCATCTGTTTTACACTGGGATCATTTGCAAAGATTTATGCAGACACGTATGGTAAGGATCAGCCAAAAACCTTTCATGTGTCAACATCTCAGCTCCTCATTATTTCTGCACGGCCCTTTCAAATTATTACAGCATTTCAGACTTCTACTGGCTCATGCACATATATGGCTTGCAAACCCACTCCTAAACATGTGGAGAGCTGGGAGCTCAGTCTGGGCCTTTTTAACACCACATGGCCACTTTCTAGTTGTTAAAGAAACAGGAATTCCATCAAAAAACACTTTTTGGATATTGTTCTGCTATAGTTCCTTTACTTTGTAAACTTTTGAGTCTTTTGAAGCTTCTGTAATGGTGCATACACTGGTAATGTAGAAACCTACAGCTGCTGTTTTAACTAAAAGGTGGCATGCACAGTGCTCTTGGCATGAAAAGCAAAGGTGTTCAGAGGCAGAAGGGTTAAGCATGTCAGTATTTCTATGAATAAGCCCTGTCCTCAGGAGCCTGAGACTCAGCTGGCTGTAGACTGAAGCTTGGCCCAAGAGACTTTGCATGCTCGCAGGCCCTAGATCTTTTTTAAGTAACCATGTCTGTCTTCTGGCTGTGGTTTGATTCTCCAGTCCCCAGGTGCCAGCTCCAGGCAATCTGTCTTTTCTTTAAAAAACAATCTGTAAAAGAACTGCCTTTTACTTGTGGGAACAAGCCAGTTGTGTCCCCTCCCCAGGACTTGTGAGTTTTTGTGTTAAGAATTTTCCGAGGGATGTAATTGTAGTGAAGTAGGGCAAAAGAGATGCTGCAAAGCAGCTGTCCTAGCTTTACAGTAAAATAAAGCAGCCTTGAGTGGAGCTAACATAGCAGTGCCATTATTCATGCCATCTTACATCTAGAGCAGTGGTGTTCAACCTTTTGGTCCCATAGGCTGGATCAGCTTCATACTGCTAGTGTCACCTCTGCTCAACCTGACATGCCTAATCTAGCAAGCAGTGCCACTCTGTACAGCCTGTGGGGTTCCACACAGGTCCAGAAATTTGGCAGCAAGGCAGTGGCAATTAGTGCAGTCACCACTCCCCCCACCACCACATTTTTGGATTGTTGGGAGCCCTGTGGCCAGATGACATGGCTCTGCAGGCTGGATCTGGTCCATGGGCCAAAGGCTGAGCACCCCTGGTCTAGAGGAATGAATGGGGGTCTTCCGTGCATTGTAGCAATCCCATGGTGCCTGGCAGGATTTCCCAACTTGCAGGGGCTAATTTAGATTGTGGGCAGCAGTTATAAGGGATGTAGTGACAGCCTTCCACTGGCTTCTGCTATAAACTTGTAGTGTTGTCTTACCACTGGTAAATCTGCTGCAACTTGAAGTCTAGAATCATGTTCCAGGCTATTCCTCAAGTATTTGAGGGCAGGCATTTTGGAATAGGCTGAATACAGTAGCTGACAAAAAGTAGGGAGAGAGTGGGGGCGCTGAGATACACTTCTGGCTTCAGTCTGGTTTTGGATGGGAGCTGTAAGTGCTTCTGTGCCAACTGTACTCCAGTGCTCAGGCTGAAGTGTCAAGTTTTCAGAAGGCAACATGGGTGCAAGCTGGCTGGTGAAGTGAATGAGTTTGCCAGGTCAGTTCTCGCTTCATTGACAATTTTGGTGGCACTGTGGCAGTTCTGATGGCCCCCTGAAGTAACCAGTTAACTCTTTGCCCTGCCTGACCCTGGTCAGCAGTGAAGGTCATAGAGACACCCCCACACACACACACACCCCTTGCCACTGGCTCCTCCAGATGCTTCTTCCAGGTCAAGGCTGAAGTGCTTTGGCAAGGACCAGTATGAGAGAAGCTTGCTGTGCAGCCATCTGAGTTCCCATACCTCGCACTCTCAAGTGGCCCCTCCCCAGCACTAAACTTCTTATTTAAAAAGAAATACAGACCCTCCCAGTATAGGGGGGGCAAAACTCCCTCTGATATCACAATAAATTGTTATATTTCTTCCCCCTTTTAGGAGATATCAATTACCAGGAGTTTGCAAAGCGGCTTTGGGGTGACATCTACTTCAACCCCAAGACGTAAGGAGCATTTTTAATCCCTTTTGTCAAGTTCTGCTGCTATCGGTGTCTTGTTTGCTCTTTGTCCCGTAGAACCAAAGAGTGGTTGGAGGGAGCTGAGTTGAGGCCTCAACTTTTGTTGTGAATCTGCATTGTTATCTTGCAGAGCAAGTGCAGTATTGCTCCACTTGGTGTGGCTGTGTCACTTTTCATCTTTACATGTGGAATAAGTGTATCCCCTCTGCATTATTTGTGTAGCAAGGGATGTTGCTTCCGGTTCCTCTGAGGATTCAGGTATTTTGAAGGGTTGCAGGTTCAGTTCCTTTAAGGGTGCACTGTTGTCATGTGTGTTTAATAGCCAGGTGTAGAGCTCCACGACCTTTTATAGAACTAGTCAAGTCCATTTGCCTGCTCAGGAGAGAACTGGGGCAGGGAATAAGTTTGTCTGGTCTCATGGGGAGCTGACATATATGACACCTGTGAGACAGCACTGCCACGTTGCACAGGACTTGCCATTCACATCTTTCCTCCTGACTCTCTCCCACAGGCGAAAATTCACTAAAAAAGCCCCAACCAGCAGTTCACAGCGCAGCTTTGTAGAGTTTGTCCTTGAGCCTCTGTACAAGATCCTGGCTCAGGTAGGTGCCTGCTCTCTCCTTTCCTTCCCTTTTTTGAAGCTCTGGTTATGAGTAGCCCCAAACACTGAGGAGTTACAATCCTTCCAAGCCACGAGCATTTAAGCCCTGAACGCTAGGTGGTTCTGCATGTCTGCTGTCCTTTTGGGGAAATTCAATGATCACAGATGCCTGCATATAAGAAGGCCAAGAAGTTGGGCAGCTCCTTTCCTTCCCTTCCTGCTCCTTATTCCCAATACCGTCATGCACCCAGAACTCTACTTACCAGAACACACATTAAGTGCTTTGGTTTTAAGAAACTTCTACCACTTAGTAACTTCGAACCAGATGGTTCCCTGGCAGTTGCAAAACCAGTCTGAGCCCAGCTCTACAAAGGTAAAAAGCCAATGTATTAACCTGGAGCCTGGATGTAGGTTTTATGCTATCCCAGTGATACTTTAAGTGGCTAAGAGGTATCATTGACTGCACCCAGGAGTTAGTGGCATGGAGTCAGCACAGTAACCTGTATTCTCTTACAGGTGGTCGGTGATGTAGACACCACACTCCCCAGGACTCTAGATGAGCTAGGCATTCATCTGACCAAGGAGGAGCTGAAACTGAACATTCGACCCCTGCTACGACTGGTCTGCAAAAAGTTCTTTGGGGAGTTCACAGGTAAGGCTCTGTAGTATGAGCCAGACATTCAGAGCTGTGGTGCCACAGAGGCAAGTTTGACTTTCCAAAGTGATGCTCCCAGACTGTACTTCTTGGCTGGGGCTGTCAGAAGTTTGCACTTCATTTGAACAGTCAGTATATAAACTGTCTCCAGAGAGAGCTAAGGCCATTACTTTCATTTCACTTGTGACTTTTAGAATGCATGCAGTCCTTGAAGGTAAAGGCTTTGTGTGTTCAAGCAGCCTTACTTTCTGTACTTTCAGTTCATCTAAATAGCAACATTCTCATGTAGCTTTGCTCTCCTAGGATTTGTGGACATGTGTGTACAGCACATTCCCTCCCCAAAGGTGGGAGCCAAGACCAAAATTGAGCACACCTACACTGGAGGCATCGACTCGGACCTGGGAGAGGCCATGAGCGAGTGTGACCCTGATGTAAGGAAACTTTTCTACTCCTCTCTAAATCTTCCATAGCACAGCTGTAGCAAATATCATCCTCACCACAGTGAGAGGCTTCTGCACAGATTTGACTTGCAGCATTTCAAAATCTCTCATCCGGTACTGAAACAAATCTCTCCACTTGGAGAAACGTTAGCAGCCTGCCAGGGCAGCCCGAGAGAGAGAGGGAGGGATGTGAGGAAAGGCAGAGACTAGGTCAGAACTTCATAGCTGCTGGGTATTGCAGTGTGGTGATTAGTTGTTCATGTCCTTGTGCTGATCTTTTTTGCTATTTTCAGTGAAGGCTGATTCTCTCACGAAATTCTTAACTGGAAAAGCTGGCTGGAACTAGGTGGAATAGAATCTTGCATTCATCTGCCAATGTAGCTTTGCCTGGGATGGAATTCAGCAGCTGTTTGTCGGCACCACCAAAGCTAGACAGCTGTTTAGAAGAGGAAGTGAAGAACTGAGTTCTGAATAGCAAAGCAGTGGTCACCCTAAACTGTTGAAAGGGATAGTACCTCATACGATTCCATTTGTATTTGAAATACAATTGCCCTGGTAGGATTTTACAAAGGCAGATATGGTCATGAGATCTTCCACAAGTGGGTACAACCTGGCTTCTGTCTGAAAGATGGGACCTCCAACAGCCCTGGCTTGCTTGCAGTGGACAGGGGCTTAGGTTTCTTGCTGAATTGGCAGGTCAGCAGGTCACTCTCATCTCTTCAACCTCACTTTTAAGGTATTCTGTCCTGGTAGGGGCAGCCATCTCCAAATTGTTTCACTTGCAATCCCATCAGACGTTGCACCATGAGCTAGGTCAGCTGCTGGCTACATTGGTGGTGCCATGTAGGGATGGCAGCTGCTGGACTTGGTTTTCACTTGAGAGACATCATGCCATTAGCACAGGCAAGAGGATTCATAATTCCAAGCAGTGAAGCAAACTGAGGATCCAAAAAACCTTCCTTGTGACTTCCAGCCTGAGTTCCAGGAAACAAACCCCAATTATTGCATTCACAATGATTCCTCTAGGTCTGATTTCTGCTTTGGGAGTATATGCATATCTTGGAATTGACTTATTTTGCTTTCTTCTTTTTTGGGGGGAAAGGGTCCATTAATGTGTCACACCACAAAAATGTACAGCACGGATGATGGGGTGCAGTTCCATGCCTTTGGCAGGGTGCTGAGTGGGACCATCCATGCAGGGCAGCCTGTCAAGGTCCTTGGAGAAAACTACACCCTGGAGGACGAGGAGGATTCCCAGATCTGCACTGTGGGGCGTCTCTGGATCTCGGTTGCAAGGTATGGTAGTGTCAGTGGAGAGTTTGAGACTCTCGGTTATGTTCCTCTGGAAGAAAAATAACAGTTAATCGTTATCTTGCACTTCAGTGAGAGGAGGGAAACTCAAGGGCTAGGGGAGTGATTTGCTGCTAGTGTGTGGTCCCTTGTCTGACAGTTAAGACTGAGATTTGGCTGTAACCCTATCCCAAGACTTGTGTGAGCAAAGGAAACAGAGATGTATAGAGGAGAGAGAGAAACACAGTTTATATAGGTGTTATCTCATTACATTATCTTGCCCTTAGACATAAATTAAACACCAGGTCTTCCTGTCATCATTGTTGTACTATCTGCATCTCTCAGTGGAAGAGAGGTTTGAATGGGTGCAGGGCATCAACTAGTGGGCAGAGCTGTGGTTTCTAGGCACTGGGCTGCTTGGAGAAAAGTTCAGATATGTTTATGTGATAACTAGGGTATGAGGGGTCTGTGATTCCAGGAAAGTGGAGCATTGTGTCAGGCAGCACCATGAAGGGCCTCACAGCACTGATTGTACTCAGTACACTCCCATCTTGTGTATTGTAGGTACCACATAGAGGTGAACCGGGTACCTGCTGGCAATTGGGTGCTGATTGAAGGAGTGGACCAGCCCATTGTGAAGACTGCAACCATCACGGAACCCAGAGGCAATGAGGAGGTACTGTGTGAGACCGCATTGCTCCTAGTTGCTTGCAGAGTGATAGCCCCAGAGAGTGACAGTTGATGGAACCAAGTCAACATGGCACATGGTAACCAGTGGTGTCCCCCAGGGCTCAGTACTCAGACGAGTACTCTTTAATATATTCATAAATGATCTCGTTTTGGGTGTCAGAAGCGGACTAGTTACGTTTGCAGATGACACCAAATTATGGGGAAGTGTGGTCATGCTAAAGGACAGGCTGGCAACTCAGGTCGACTTGTACAGGCTCAGAAGGTAGGCGGATCAAAACCAGATGACATTCAACACGGAGAAATGTAAGGTGCTCCACCTCAGGAGAAAAAAACCCATATCATACCTGTAGGGTTGGCAATGCTACACTCACTAGCACCACGACTGAAAGAGACTTGGGGGTCATGATTGACCACAAGATGAATATGAGCCACTAATGCGATGCCACAGCCAGCAAAGCAAACAAAACTCTGGCTTGCATCTACCAGTGCACTTCAAGCAAGACCCAAGAAGTCATCCTCCCACTGTACTCAACCTTGGTGAGGCTGCAGCTGGAGTACTGCATCCGATTCTGGGCTCCACACTTCAGAAAGGATGTGGAGAAGCTTGAGAGAGTCCAGAGGAGAGCCACACATATGATTAGAGGTCAAGAGAGCAGGCCTTATAAGGGGAGGCTGAGAGGCATGGGACTCTTCAGCCTGGAGAAGCAAAGGCTCAGAGGTGACTTTGTGGCAGCCTATAAGTATATAAGGAGTGTGTATCAGGAACTGGGAGAACATCTGTTCACCAGGGCACCCCAAGGTCTAACGGTCACAAACTGCTGGAAAACTCTTTTAGATAAGGAAAAACTTATTACCACCTGAGTCTACCAGGTTCTGGAGTAGACTCCCCACAGAAGTGGTGCAAGCACCTACTCTGTATACCTTTAAGAAATGCTTGGATGCTTATCTTGCTGGGGTGATCTGACCACAACTGACTTCCTGCTCCTTGGGCAGGGGCCTGGACCCGATGATCTTGCAAGGTCCCTTCCACCCTTAATGTCTATGATATCTAGTTAGGGCAGTGCCATTGTTGTGATGGATATGACAGCTGCTCAATGACCAATGTCCTTTCAAGCACCAGTGACTTCCCTGCCCTGCTTCCTACATACACAAAACCACTGCTTTCTATTATGAGCAAGGTAGCCCCAGTAAGTGATCAGTTTTAAGGGTACTGAGAGGTGCCTGTTACTACCAGGAATGGAGGGAGGATTGAAGAAGCACTCTGCCTTGGAGGAGGCTTTTTCTCAACTGTACAGCCTCCATGATATGGTCCCACATGCTTTTTCTCATTCAAGGCTCCAACTGTAGCCAGTTTACAAAGTGGTGAGTAGGAATCTTATTATTTTGAGTTTTGTTTCAGGCTCAGATCTTTCGTCCTTTGAAGTTCAACACCACGTCTGTCATCAAAATAGCTGTGGAGCCAGTCAACCCTTCAGAGCTCCCTAAGATGTTGGATGGCCTGCGGAAAGTCAACAAAAGTTATCCATCACTCACCACCAAGGTGTGTGCCAGGGCAAGGCTGATCCTCATGCCTGTAGCCCTTTCACTCCCAGGCCATGTCCCACTCTTTGGCCCACAAAAATGCTGCCAGTTTGAGCTACTTCACATGTTTAAAAATAGTTCATTATTAGCTTCATCTTTTTATCTCCATATTCATGACAGTCTGCTTCCAAGCTCTTTTCTATATTGGTTCTCAGAGGGATTAACCCAGCCAGGACACCTGTGCGATTCCTGGAGATACCTTCTGATGAAAGAAGGTGGTGAAGATACCTTTTTCCCACAATACATTTTAGCACACACTGTCAGAAGAGACAGGGTATGGAGTTCTTCTGAGCTGGTTCATAGCCAAATGGTCCTGCACCACTTCCTAAGAACCTCAGGCTGGGGCTCTTCTTTCTCCTCTCCCTCCATTGCCTGCCAGAAGTTATCTTTGCTTACCTTGTTCATTGGACTCAGGTGCCTGGAGTTTCTCCCATTTAGTTCTGGTTCAAACACCTTTATTCCTGGTTAATGTTGCCTTGGGCTAGAAGGGAGTAGGCCAGAAGGGATGCAGCATACTGCGTCTGTCATGGTGTAGCTTAAGTCCATCTGTTCTTCATGTTTCAGGTGGAAGAATCTGGAGAGCATGTGATCTTGGGTACAGGGGAGCTCTACTTGGACTGCGTGATGCATGATTTACGGAAGATGTACTCAGAGATTGACATCAAAGTGAGAGAGATTTTTGTTCTTGCCATTTTTACTGAGGAAAGTTGGGAACTCTACATAAGAAGTATCTCTGGGGTGTGGAAATTGGTTGGTGAAGGGGATTTGTTGCCACAACCTCCATTGCTCCACAGTATATTAGGGCCATTCTTTATGTCTTCAGGTTCACAAGGTGTAGGGAGACTGTTTTCTGGTCAAACAGATGTTAAGGCAAATCCCTTTGCTTGGGATGCAAGTGCTAGGCAGTTTCTACCTCTGCCCTAAAGAAATGCCAAGCTTCTTCCACAGTGAAATGCCAGAGCTCCTCAGTCTGGTTGATTTCACAGTCTGATTTTGTTGATTTCACAGCATTTACCCTTGAAGTTGAAAACCTAAAGTGTATACCTGGTTTTTAATTGTTCTACGTACTTTAGACTCATGATTAGTAAATTCAGAGCTATTGTCTACAATCTGCTTTTCTAGCAGGTTTTTGCTACTTGCCAAACTAAATCCATCTCATCTCACTGGTTCAGTCACTATTTGGGTAAAGAAATCTATCGGCCATAGAGACAGACATGCAGCTGGGGCTACGCTTGTTCCACTGGCAGCCACCAGGGTTGAAGGATTGAGAGAAACCATTGTAAGATCCTCTTCATGATCTACACATGGGTTAAAGACACTGAGAGCTGGCTGTCCATGCAACATTGCAATGGCTGAGCCCTGTAGAGCAGAACCACTTCAATACAGTAGAAAAACTCAATCAGAAATGGTAATTCCTAGAAATAACTTCTGATGAATTGTACATCAGTGACCGCTTCCAACTCAAAATTCCAATCCACATGCCTTTGGGGAGGAGAAGGAGGTATGTGAATGGAGGTATTTTGTGCAGAGGCAATAGATTACCATTATCAAAGAATTTGGTGGTGTTTTCTGTGGTCTATGTTCCTGTTGTGCTGTGGAGCCCAGAGTATAAGTTATGGGCCAAAGCTACAACCTATACGATCACTAATTGAATCACTTTTTGTCTTAATGATCTCAGGAGTTGCTAGTAACTATCAGAGTTTTAAAGATTTCAAATAGTCTGAGTGTTACTGTAAAGTTGATAAATGCAAAGAAGTGACAAACCACTGGTGCTGCTGTTTTTGAAGGTTGCTGATCCAGTTGTGACATTTTGTGAGACCGTGGTGGAAACCTCCTCCCTGAAGTGTTTTGCGGAGACACCCAATAAGAAGTAAGGCTTGGTCACCTGATAATGTGGCGCTCAGGGCATTTAGTAGAGCATTTGGTGTGTCCATTAGATCAGGCATTGCAAGAGATCAAGCCTCTTTTCACTGTAGACTTAAGTATTACCAACTCCCAGCTCAGTATCCAAGGAGTCTGCTCTAATTTGTTGCTGTCTGGAAAAGCTGTGTATTTAAGTAGCTCATACGCACTGTGTAGTTCATGCCCTTATACATCAGTGGCTCTTGTTCATAACTCCACTGTATATCTCCACTAATTTGAAAGGCATCTCTGTGTCCCCTTGTGCCATCTGCTGGTGCAGACAGAAAGGGCACCTCCACAGTCTCCCCACAACAAAGCAGCTGAGAAGTTCCCACCTTCCTTTCTTTCAGTTGTAATCTTCAATTCCCAGTTCCTTTTCAGAGTATCTGTTGTCTGAAATCCCAGAGACCCAGTAATGTATTTCTGGGGTCCCAGAGCAGACGAACCCAGGAGCCTTACTCTGCCCCCAAGATCTGCCATGCACAAGAGCACAATTCCAGCTTCTAGTAATCCATAATAGTTTTGCTGCCTTCCACAACCCAGTGGAGTCTTGCAGCCTAATGCTCCCTTTCACCTTCTGAGGTAGTGTAAGAAGAGTATTTAAAAGAAGTAAAGCCTAGGGAGGAGGAGGGACTGTTTGGGGTATCAAAGGGGGAGGTATAACTAGGAGGTGTATGGTGGCTTGAAAAGGAAGTGTAGGCAGAATACCAAGGAAAATTGCTGAAGGGTGAAATCTGGAAACATCAGACTGGATGGAGCTTCCTTGGTTATCACATCCAGTCCCCTGTCACCACAGGCAACTATAAACCACTCAAGGAATCCCATTAATGCATTCATCAAACTCCATCTTGAAACTAGATTGTGGTGGGGTTTTTTTGGTCCTTTAGCTTAAATAGTTCTTCTCCTTCCAAGTTCAGCTCTGAAATGGTCTCCCCAGGGTGATAGTAGGAAGTCCCTTCCCCTGGGAAACTGCATGCTCTAAGACTTAAGTCTCCCTAGCCACGAGCTGCACAATGTACCTGTCTCTTGGTTCCTCCCAGCCTACTCCACTTCACTAAAGCCTTCTAAAGCTAAATCTTCTCTCTCAAAAGACTCCTATCTCTTCTACCAGCTAATGGGCATTGCTTTTTTGCTCAGGAACAAGATCACCATGATTGCAGAGCCACTGGAGAAGGGGCTTGCTGAGGACATTGAGAATGAGGTGGTCCAGATCACATGGAACAGGTATGGCTGGTTTGAAGTATGGCTGACTTCCTTCACCCCTCTGGACGACTTGCCCGTGGCTCCGTCCTGTTTCTGCCCCAGCTCTGGGGTCCCATTCACCACCCTGGCTGCGCAGTGCCACCTGCCTCTGGCCCACTCCCTCCCTCACCATGGTGGCCTCAATCTGACTCCCATGCCCCTTCCCTCCCCCATGCCCCTTCCCCTCCACAGACTTACCTGCAGGGCCCTGCTCTCCACATTGCCTGGCTGCATTACTGTAAATCGGTTATCGGATCAGTATCGGTCGATATGCCTGGTGAATAATCGGCTATCGGTATCCGCCAAGAAAATCTTTATCAGCGCACCCCTAATAAAAATAACCCAAACTATACCTACAGTATGATAGACTCTACATTAGCTGTTACCACACAAGAAAGAGAGCTGGGAGTCATTGTGGACAGTTCACTAAATCTTCAGCTCAGTGCTCATCAGCTGTCAAAAAGGCAAACAGAATGCTAGGGATTATTAAGAAGGTAACTGTAAAGAAAAAGTATCATTATGCCCCTTTATAAATCTGTGGTGCACCCACACTTTGAATATTGTGCTCAGTTCTGGTCCCCACACCTCAAAAAAAAAGATACAGAGGAACTAAAGAACGTACAGAGAAGGGCAGCAAAGATGATTAGTGATATGAAGGGACTTCCATATGAGGAGAGACTAAAGAGGCTAGTCTTGTTCAGTTTAGAAAAGAGATCCTGGAGTGGGGACATGATAACAGTTTGCAAAATACTAAATGGCGAGGAAGCAGTAAATAGGGAGTTATTTACAATAAAAATACAAGAACTAGGGGTCATAAAATGAAACTAGTAGGTAGTAAATTTAAAACTAACATAAGGAAGTTCTTTTTCACACAGTTTGTAATTAAAGTGTGAAACTCCTTGCTACAAGAGGTTAAACTGTCTGCTTCCACAACCAAATTCAAAAAGAGATTGGACAGATTCTTGGAGGAAAGGTACATCAGTAGTTATTGAGTACAGGAATTGGGGATACAGCCTTAGAATCAGAACTTCCTAGATCTTAAATGATGGAGGCTACAACTGGGAAGGAACAACGGAAAAAACCCATATCATACCCAGTTCACTGTCCCTTTCAGCATGCACTCTCAGCCCCCCCTGTGTCACAGCAGACTAGGCAAGATGGAACATGGTCTGACCCAGTAAATGCCTGTTCTTTTGAGGAAAGCAGAAGCTTTTGAAGGGTAGATAGCATGCAAGATCAAAGGGAAATGTGTGGATTTGGGAGCTGCACAACACCAAGTTAGAGCCCCCATGGAATAGGAACCCAAAAGGGATTCAGGTCTAAACTGTCTACCCTCCTAGTTCATAAGCACTTGTGGTCCAGCAGAGCAATCATTTAAAGACTGGGGAGCTGTAAAGCCCCAGGGAATGGGAGCAAGTCTCTAAATGATGAGTGGTAACTGGGTGCCCTAATGCTTTTCCCCTTTTTGTTCCCTTTCCATCAGGAAAAAGCTAGGTGAGTTCTTCCAGACCAAATATGACTGGGATCTGCTGGCTGCCCGCTCCATCTGGGCCTTTGGACCTGATGCTACTGGCCCAAACATTTTGGTAGATGACACGCTGCCATCAGAGGTAAGCAGCAGACAGGAGCGGGTCATTTAGGTTAGGCTCCTGTGGGGTGTAGTCACACCAGAATGGCTGGAAGTAGCTTTGTCCATCCTGCAGTATGTAGAGGAAGCAAGTTTTCCCAGGTCCCCCTGGAAAAGGTTCTGAACAAGTGCTGTCTGCTGATTAGGACGAGGGGAAACTCTTGCCTAGTGCCAGCTTTGCTGCTGATTTGCTGTGATTTTTGGCCCCAAAGTTTTCAGAGTTGCCAAAGAAGCAGCCTGTCCTTTAGTGTTTCCTAGCGCCTCGAAAAACCAAGTCACTTTTCTCCTTAGATTTGAATGCTAACCTTTGAAAATTATGGTCCCGAGATCTCTTTCTTTTCTTCCTTGTCTGGGAAAGGAGGATTGCTCAAACAGTGCTCTTAGAAACACGTGTCCTTCTCTGTCTCTGCCTCTTGATGCAGTATCTGTGATTCTTAACATGCAAGTTTGTTTCCTTCTAGGTGGATAAGTCGCTGCTGGGCTCTGTGAAGGACAGCATCGTGCAGGGTTTCCAGTGGGGGACTAGGGAAGGGCCCCTCTGTGATGAGTGTAAGTAAGAGAGCTTAGAAGAGGTGAAAATAAAGCAGAATAGTGAATTCACTAGTTCTTAAGCATCTTGGTGGTCTCTCTGGGGTAAACCCCCTCTTCCCCCCTCCCCCTGCCCCCAAGCTGTGTTAAGCAGGCTGTTGGACTAGGTCAGGGCTGTCCAGCATGTGACCTGTGGGCCCCTTGTAGCCCCCAGGGGCTTAACAAACAGTTCTCAGTCCAAGTACTGCTTTCCCCACTGCTCTGGCAGCTGCTGCTACCTGAGTCTCTGGGCTTTCCCTCCCTTCTCAGGATTCTGCTGTCTGAGCCTACCCCTGCAGGTGAGACCAAGGGAGTCCATGGCCAGATGACTCGGGGGCGGATCCAGAAACCCTATGTGGCACAGCCCAAGTTTCCCATTGCATGGCACAGTGGGAGGGATCCATGTGGCACAATGTGCAGGGTGTGGGAGCATTGGGAAGGTACTGCAGGGAGGTGCATGCAGTCATGGTGCAGTGGTTTGAGATGGGGCATGCACTGTATCGTGAGGCCTTTGGCCTGTGCAGCGTGTAGTCGGGGTGTGGCCCAGGGCCCTGCAGCCCCCGGCCACCCAGAAGTGAGACAGCCTTGATTAGGTGACTGTAATGGTCCCTTCTGGGCTGAAGCCTCCAAGAATGTCCTTTGGCAGCCCTAGATTTCTGTTGACACCTGGTCTTTTTGGGGATGGGTCAGGTGGTCCCAGGGAGGAGCAGTCTGCTGGGATTTTGTGGAATCCCTTTTGTCCCAGGAGATCATTAACTGTCTTCTTTCCTTCTTCCCTGCTCCCAGTGATCCGCAATGTGAAGTTTAAGATTCTGGATGCAGTGATTGCTCAAGAGCCATTACACCGGGGAGGTGGGCAGATTATCCCAACAGCCAGGAGAGTTGTATACTCCGCCTTTCTTATGGTAAGGAATGTGCTGTGCATAGAGGGGACGTGGGCTAATATTGCACCAGTCTCCTTCAAGATCTGTGAGGAGCCAGTTGTTCCAGTGAGCAGCAGTAGTGAGTGATGAGGAGGTGTGTAGCATTATACAGACACCAGCAAGTCCTTATCCCAGGGAGATGAGTCTAAATCAGTGCATTGATCAATTAATCTTCCAAACACCCTGGGAGGTAGGCAGGCAGGCTGGCCTAGCAATAAGTGATGTCAGCCTGTTTTACAAACTGCATAAACCCAGCCTGGCTGAGAAGGTGCCAGCATCTGCTCTGTCTCCAGTTCTATTGATGTGTTTGGTCTGCTGAGAGATTGTGGGGGGGGACCAGCCAAGATGCTTTGAGCCAAGACAAGGGTAGCTCCTTGTGTGGGTTTGCCCAGAGGAGCTTGTAAAATGGACAAGAAACCTGCAATAGCTTGACAGGAGCCTACATGTCTGCAACAAGGCAGTTGTTCTGGAGACTGGCTGGGGTCAGGGATCAGGTACACAGCAGTAAATCCTTGTCTTCCTGACAGTGCTGGAGGTACAGACAGGCTCGTGCTACATTTGACGCATGCCTGGCATCTCCTGTCCCTCTCTTTTTTTGTAGGCCACCCCACGTCTGATGGAGCCATACTACTTTGTGGAGGTGCAGGCCCCTGCTGACTGCGTGTCTGCAGTCTACACTGTGCTGGCCAGGCGGAGGTAAGCTATACAAACTGGTTTGCCTTTTTGCGATTGCATCACATGCATGTTTGCAAGGCCATACCTCTTTACCCCAGAAGTCCTGTCCCCCTGGCATCCCCGGGGAGTTGTAGCATACAGGAAACCAGTGAGAGTCCATCTTTATTGAAATGGAATCCATATTTAAATGGAATTCATACCTGTGAAAGGTGCCTGACCTCATCAGGAGATCCCACCTGTCATGACAGTGCTACCGTGCTTAGAGATTGGGGTGTAGGCTTGTCAAGACTGGAATGATAAAGAGCAGGGGTGGGCATTATTTTTGGGCATAGTGCCAAAAACACCCACAACCTCAACTTGTAAGATGTTGATGTGCCAGGGGTAGACAGTGGAGAAGCCACAAGGGGCCCAATCCTTGTTATAGCAGTGCAGCCCCGGTCCCTTCCTTGCTGTCTGCCTTGAGGCACACATGCCAAGCCTTTGTCTGCCATGTTATGACGTGTGTCAGGGTTTGCCTACCCCGATACAGTCTTAGAGCTCAAACCCAGCCCTTTGAGTGTACTTGGCTCTGGTCTACAGTGCTGACTGGGAGGATGAGCAAAGATAATGTTGTGAGGGGTGGTTTTTGTCTAATGTCTCAGGGGCAGATATAGGAAGAGTAATCCCTTGTAACTCTTTGGCAGAGGTCATGTGACCCAGGATGCTCCTATCCCAGGTTCCCCTCTTTACACCATCAAAGCCTTCATCCCAGCTATTGATTCATTTGGGTTTGAAACCGACTTGAGGACACACACGCAGGGACAGGCCTTCTCACTGTCTGTCTTCCACCACTGGCAGGTGAGTTTCCATTGGCTAAGGCAATCAGTGAGGGCATCTTGCCCAGCCAGACTGGCACTGCAGACCTGTGTTGTGCTGACCTGGGAAGGGCCATCCTTGCTGTACAATTTGAACAAAGGAAATAAAGATTATGAGGGGAGGTAAAACAGAGCCTCCGATCTGTCCCAGGTTGTTTGCTGTAAGCTTGCTTCCTGTTTATTCTCCATGAAGGGGAAGAGGCAAGCTGCTGAGGGCAGTGACTCCCAATTTTTCTCTGGACTCTGATGCCCTCAAGTACTTTCCAGTTTGCTCTAATTAAGGGTTGTTCATGAATATGAGTTTAAACCAGTGGCCCTCCATGGTGGAGTGATGGTTCTCTCCCAGGCTGACAATCTGATCCTGTTTTAGATCGTGCCTGGAGATCCCCTGGACAAGAGCATCATCATTCGACCCCTAGAGCCCCAGCCAGCACCTCACCTAGCCAGAGAGTTCATGATCAAGACCAGGCGCAGGAAGGTAAGGCCAGCAGCAACCTCCAGGACTCATCTGGATTGTTTATGTTGGCACAGCATGCACCTTGCACCCAGGAGTGCCATGGGATCCACAACTCTGTCATCCCCTTTTGAAATGGCCTAGTGTTCTTGCAACCATAGAGACCACTGTGCCTTTCAGCAAGCCTGTAACCAAGTTCATGCTTTGGGGCAAGCCAGACTCAACAGCTTTAGTAAAGAGCATCATTAGCACAGTCTGTTGGAACATAGGTGCCAAATATGACCTTGCTCTGTTCTCTGGGGAAGAGGGTTACTCAGAGTGGGTTAGGAAGCATGCTGGGGATGTCTTGGACCCTCAAGTGCAGAGGCTTGTGGGTCACTTGCCTCCTTCACATCTGGGGATACTTTCCACCTATTAATGGATCGCCCTCATTTGGTAGCTGTCAGCATTTGTCTACCTATTTTAGAGCTCCTTCCTTAAGCCAATCAGATAGTAAAGGTGGCTGTGGCTCAACTAGAGCTGAGGAGCCCCCAAAGCCTGCAGCAAGCCCTAGACGTGCATCTCTTGTGCTGTAGCATAATGGGTCCACTGCTGTACCTGTCAGTCCAGCTCTCTGACCAAGTGCCTGCCCTGGGGGGAGTTGCTAGGGATTACATGAACTTTTCTAGCATCACATTGCTGCTTCTCATTCCGCAGGGCTTGAGCGAGGACGTCAGCATCAGCAAGTTCTTCGACGATCCCATGTTGCTAGAGCTGGCCAAGCAGGATGTTGTCCTGAACTACCCTATGTGAATATGCTCATCGGGCTCTCTGCAGCAGAGGCTAACCAGAGACTGCTCCAGTGTCCGCTGCCCAGGTTTCTGAGCCCCTCTCCTTATCACATGCTTCAGGGTATCATCTCTGTCCCTCTGAGCCCTGCTGCTCTTGGACTGTAGGTGGAATGCAGCAAACTGCATCCATAGTCCCTCTGCCAAGGCCACGGGAATATCTTGGTCCTTGAGCTTCTAAGCTCTATATGTTTGGTGCCAGCTGGAACAGAGATCTCTGTCCCTAATCAAACAGAGCATATATGCCTGCTGCCTTTGTCAGGAGTTTATCTTTTTGTCACCAGCAGTCTGTCACTTCGGTTGCTACAGACAAGTGAATCGTCTAGCTGCACTTGGCAGTTCCAGGCACAAAGGTGTTATCCCCCACGTGTGCATTCCTCCGTTGTCAGCAGCAGTTTTGAATACAATGTTAAGGTTACTGGGGACATGTTTGAAAGTCCTGCCCTGCTGTCCAACAGTTCTGCTAAAGCCAGGAGCTGCCCCAAGTTCCTGAAGCCAGGGTCATCTCATACGCTTCACTTGCTGGACAGAGCATCTCCTGTGGCTGCCAAAGAAAGGCAGACATTCCTTTTCTGGGTGGGGGCTTCCTAGTGACCTCCCCACTGCTGGCAGCAGGAGACTGGACCTGCTGGCAATCTTGCTTTTTTAATTCTATTTTGTACACGTTTATTTTGTTACCCTTGTGACAGTTGAATACAAACCCCTCACCTGGGGCTGTGTCTGTGTCCTCATTTGCTGTCTGCTTTCCTGGAAGGGAGAGCCTCTTGGTTCAGAGCGCATATAGTGAATCCTGGAGCCATGTAATTAGCACAGACCTCTTGTGCTGACTGTTCTTAAGCCACACCACCCAGTGGTCACTGATGTTCCCATGCATCCCAATCCCTGTGCCCCTTGCTTCTGGGGAGCATGTGTCAGGTAAGGCAGTAATAGAAATGCAACTGACAGCAGAATGTGAATCACCCAGTCGTGTGACATGGCAAGGTAAGTGCTTCCTTTTCTGTAGAGAGACATTTGGAGCCCTTGGGTCCTGAGTCCAGGTGATGGGGTTCTGGGTCAGTTGCTGTAGCTCCTTCTTTCTGTGCAGACACCTTATTCTTTCTAGAGCACTTATGGGCAGCTGTGGCAGGTTCATAGATGACACTGAGTGCTCATGCTCCGGACTTTACCTTTTCTGCTCATCTCTGTAAATCTTCTTGGCCCTTCTCACCTTAGCTCACAGCACTGTTCATGTCAAACACCTCATAGCCCATCTTTGCCTTGAGGGCAGCCTAGCACAGAGGGAGCCAGACTCCTTCCCATCTGCCTGCTGTTCAGTCACTGTGTGGAAAGAGTGTGGGGTTTGCTTGACGTACAGTTGTCACGACAGCTGTCTCATTTCCTGTCAGCCCTTGAAGAGGAGCCAGTGACAGGGTGGCTGATGACACTGACCTCCCTCCCACACCTCTGCTGCTCGTCTCTTGCAGTCAGACAGGGCCAAAGTTTGCAAAGCCCCTGCTTGAGTCATACCTGGTATGAGCATAGATAGCAGACTGACCTGCTTCTGTGCCCCTTCCCAGCCTTTTGCGTTGGGGTTGACAGGGCTAATGCCCTGTTCTGGTTCTAAGACTTTCCAAACCTGTATGAATTCATGCTTCTTATGGACCTATACCCTATCCACACAGGGTGAGATGCCCCCTAGTAATTGCTTAAGCAAGGTCCCCCTCCCTCATGACCTCTTTCTGCATCTCCCAGCCATTCCTATAGGCAGAGGGGGAAACCAGCAGAGGCTGGACACGCCTGCCCTTTTTTTGTAGTTAATTCAAGCATGCCTTGATGTCCCATGTGCAAGGCAAGACTGAAAGTCCTGTGGGTGTCCAAGTGCTGTCAACAGGAATGAGCTCTAATGAGTCCTGAGTGCGTGAACTGGTACTCTGGTCTAAGCACCCCATGCTCAGTGACAGGTAGCAAGGCACACAGCCCAAGGCCACACCTCCTGTCCTTATACTAATGGGAGGGAGGCAGAGGAGTGCATGGCTGAGGAGGTTGTAGGGATGGGGAGGACCTCGGGCCTATGGCAGAGCTTAGCTCCTCATCTTGTAAACCATATGTAGCTGCCTGTTATGGCTCCTAGAGAGTAGACTGGGATAAGGGAGGAATTGGCCTTTTGGAGGGGACTGCAGGACCACAGGGCCTGTTGCCAAGTGCCACTTGTCCCACTCTCGAAGTGCAGTAGCACAGGACAAGGGTACTAGAGATGTAGTTTTACTGCAGCCTGAGCTACTGAGGCACCTGCCCTTGCTCTCTGACTTGTCAGAGGCAGGGAGTGGGCTGTCCTATCCCTCAGACAGCCTGGAGGACTGATGTTCAAGGTATCACTCCCCAGAGCAAGACCCACTTGTATCTGTTCCCCTGCCTCTTGCAGCAGGGTGGGAGGGCTCCTGAGCCCCCACTGTGATCTCCTTTTCCTTGGCAGTATCTGTTTAACAAAAGGTTTGAGCTCCTGGGTAATGTAGAGGGGAGTCCTGACTGACCCGGATGTGCACCTCTTCCTTACTCTGTACTGCATCCCCATGGAGTTGGTGGGTCTTTAAGCTGCAACAGTACCTGGAGACCATCCCTACACCACACACCTGAGGGCCAGGTCTAATGAGGAGCTTGGGAGAATCCAGAGCACGACCTTGGTAAAAGCTATATCCACTAGGCACCTCTGTAAGAGGGAGCCCAACTAGTAGGGTTTGAGAAATAAGTGGCCCTACTGTGTTTTGTGAGGAGACCAGTCCAGTCCGCATGTGTTAGGCTTGCTCTGGCAATCACTAGATTGGAGGGGGGGTGCATCTCTCAAGCAGAGAAACACTTGGAGCCTGGATCCTTGCTAGACTTGGGCAAGAGAGTTACTGAGCTTCTCAGACTACCACAGTCCTGAGCATGGGGACAGGCTGAGTCATAGATGCATAGATTGTAAGGCCGGAAGGGCCCTTGGAAGATAATTGGGTCCACCCCCCTGCACAAAGCAGAAAAGATAACTGGGGGTCAGGTGACCCCAGCAAGGTGACTGTCTAGATTTCCAGGGTAGGTGATTGCACCATCTCTGGAGGGAGCTTATTCCACAGTCTGAACACCATGACTGTGAACAAGTTTTTCCTAATGCTGAGCCTGAACTGGTCTTCCAGGAGTTTGTGGCCATTACTCCTGGTTTTCCCCTCGGGTGCCCTAGTGAACAGTTGCTCACCAAGCCCTTGATGTACTCCCCTAGTGTAGCGGTGAGCTGCTACCAGGTCCCCTCTCAGCCTTCTTTCCCTCAGTCTGAAGAGTCCCAGATCCCTCAGCCTTTCCTCATATGACTTGCCTTTTAAGACTCTGATCATACGGGTGGCTCTTCTTTGGACTTTCTTAAGCTTGTCAACGTCCTTGTTAAAGTGTGGTGCCCAGAACTGGACGCAGTACTCTAGTTGCGGTCTCACCCGTGCTGAGTAGAGCGGAAGAATCACCTCCTTGGTTTTGCTGAAGATGCATCGATTGATGCATGCCAGAGTATTATTTGCCCTACTGGCTACAGCATCACACTGCCAGTTCATATTCATACTGTGGTCCATTATTACCCCCAGGTCCCTTTCATTCATGGTAATAGTCAGTTTGGTGCCGCCAGGCCTGTAAGTGTGTTGGGAGTTGCTCATCCTGAGGTGGAGCACTTTACATTTCTCAACGTTGAACTTCATCAGATTCCGATCCGCCCAACTTGCTAGCCTGTCTAGGTCCACCTGTATCTGTTAGGGTTGTGCGAAGCTTCAGGTGGCGATTAGATTCGGAGGAGATTCAGTCTGATTCGGTGGCTGAATCTCCGAATCCGAATCGAATCAGGGGACCAAATTAAAGGTCCAAATCAATTCAAAGCTCCCCGAATCTTCGGCAAAGATTCGGAGAGCTTTGATTCAGGCAGTCCTCGGTGGATGCAGCAAAGAGCTGCAGCCACTCCAAGCTGGTAAGTACTAGCGGTGGGGGAGAGGGGCTGGGGGGACGGGACCATGGGAAGGGACCCCTGCCAGCTCCTGGTGCTTTAAAAAAAATGCCCCAGTGCTCACCAGGTGCTGCCAGGCAGGGGGTGATCCCCACTGCCCCACACTACATGGGGGGGGGGCCTTGCCCCCCCCCCACCCCCCCCCCCCTGGCTCTCCCGCCTGCCAGGGCTCTGGCCCTTCAAGGAAAAAAAAAAAAGAGAAGCCCTGGGACTCACCCCTCCTGGTGCAGCCTCAGGGGCTCCTGCAGGAGTGGAGAGTCCCCGGGTTTCTTCAGGGTTTTTTTTTTTCTGTAAAGGTCTGGAGCTGGCCCATGTGGGGCCCCCCCATGCAGCATGGGGCAGTGGGGAGCAGCTGGGATCACCCCCCACCCCGC